ACATATGTCTATGGAGATTCTCAATCATCCAGGTCATGGTTGTCCCAAAAGTTTTTTTTTTCAAAAGGCAAGTAGACTTTGAGTTTTGTTTTGTTTTGGTTTTTTTTTTTTTTTTGAAGATGTTTCAGTTGCCTTTTGAAAAAGCTCTTTTGGGACATAAAGCACGTATTGTGTCTACCTATTTCTAGTTGGAGACACATCCAGAGAAGAGACCAGAAAAAGGAAAAAAAAAAAAATCACAGATCAAAGTGATGGTTAAAGTGCTTCTCAGGTTTATAATCTTGGTATCAATATAAAGCTTTAATACATTCTTTCCAATTTCTTAAAACATTGATTTTATTATCTCTCTCAGTTTCCTAGACTAAGTCTGGGGCCTTCTAGATCCTGGAATTTGCTGGTCAACCCACGTTAACACCACACGGAGGGGGGGGGGGACCCCTGCTTCAGATTTTCAAGACAAGGATATAAAATGGAATGACGATCCGGAATATGAGAAAATTGGCACTTAGAACAGATCCACTGAAAGCCACAGTAGCTATAGAAAAAGCATCTATCAAATCTGCCAGATTTCATTTACATCCAAAGATGCCGTGGGTGGCATTTGATCACTGTCACTCCACTTCCCAGAATTAAGAACTGAATCCAGTCTATCAGTTGTTTCTTAGAGGTCCAGCTTATTTTGGAAAGAAAAGGGTAGAAGATGGAAAATGAAAGGCTGGAGAACGACAAGACAGCTTCTCTTCCTAATTCTTCCCTCTGTTATTAATGTCTCTAGACCAGCGTTTTCCAGCAACTTTGCCATGGCAACTTCAACTCTTAGGATTCATCAGCCTGCATGCCTGGAGCTGGGAGTCGAAGTCTACACATCTGAAAAATGTTCAGGTTGAGAAAACACTAGTGTAGAGCAGTGTTTCCCAAACTTGACAATTTTAAGGCATGAGGACTTCAACTCCCAGAATTCCACAGCCAGCGTTGCTGGCTGTGGAATTCTGGGAGTTGAAGTCCTCATGCCTTAAAATTGTCAAGTTTGGGAAACACTAGTGTAGAGGTTGGGTGCATCGGAATACGCTCGGCAGCTTTTCGCTGCCTCTAGGAATCCTGGGAACTGTAGTTCCAGAGCCAGATTCCCAGTCTTCCTGGAGGTGAACCCTAAAATAAGTTCAGAAATTTTCTACGACTGAGTTCAGAAGATTGAAATAGGCCTACCTGACGCTTCAGGGTCTTCACCAAAAGGACACCTTCGAAAGGGGAAATAAAAGCTGGCTGCCCAAACAAGCAAATAAGAAATCAGATCAAAGGCATGAAATCAAGCGAATAAGAAATCAGATCAAAGAGGGCAGGAATTGCTTTAGCGTCCTTTGCAAATGGTGTGCAATTGTGCAAAAGTTTTCCAATCCTAAAACATGATGCTAGTTGTAGTATCAACTAGAACAGTGGTTCTCAACCTGTGGGTCGGGACCCCATTTGGGGTCGAACGACCATTTCACGGGGGTCGCCAAACAATGCAGTCCGCCATTTTTTCCCCCTTTTCCTTAGCTGTGCTACTCCCTTTTATTCTATTGGCTTTTGAAAGCCAATAGAATAGACTCTCTTGAATAGAGTCTAATTCTATTGGCTTTCAAAAGCCAATAGGAATTGTCCAGGCTGTCTCTGCCCTGCTGAGCCCGCCAAAAGTCCCATTCTGCAAACGGTGCTGCACCAGTTAAGTAGTCCTCGACTTAAGACCGGTTGAGTAGTCCTCGACTTAAGACCGGTTGAGTAGTCCTCGACTTACGACCGGTTTGGGGGGGGGGGTCGCGGCATTAAAAAGGTTGAGAACCACTGAACTAGAATTTCTCCTGAAGGCGGGGCGTCCAACCTTGTCGATATTAAGACTAGTGAACCAGCTCCCAGAATTCCCCAGCCAGCATGGCTTCTGGGAATGAAGTCCACAAGTCTTAAAATTGCTAAGGTTGCGTACCCCTGCTTTACAAAAAGTCTGATCAACTTCATTAACGCTGTCCTACACTGCCTCACCAAATTATGCTGAAGCCCATCAATTTTAGTAGCCGTGCCTAGTGATGTCAACCCTACCAACCGCTGGAGTAATCTGGGATTTAAATCCTAACTGCTCTATGCTATTTCAGACATGAATTGCTTGGTAAACTTTGCTCATTTAAAGTTAGCAAATATCTGGACCTAACATCTCAATTCTTTCCAGCCCAACTGCCCGTTGCTCTATGGGAGAGATTCTCGATGCCTAATGTAGACATGCATCTAAAAAAAAAAATCTTACATTATTTCTCTGCTTAAGAAAATAGCTTCCACTTGACATGGTTATTAAATATATCCAAAATAGCTTTATTTCTCCGAGTTTACGGAATGGATTTCCACATTTAGTACTCTTCGTTTTTAAAATAGATCAGAACACCTTCCCAAGGACCATTCATAGGAGGGTGTCAGTTATAAACACGAATCTAACTGGTTTTACTGATTTCCACTTTTTTTGTAAATTTATTATTATTTTTTTATTAAATTGCTTTGCCACCCAGCTCCCCTACAAGGCGACTCTTCCTTGCACAATTCGAAATTCCATTTTTTTCCCCTTCTAATTCATAGGACAATGTAGTGGGTAAAAATCTCCATTCAAAATAAGTGAGCTTTACATGTTTGTAATAAATGCCTCTAAAAGAACTTTTACAGATTATACAGACTGACGAAAATACTCAAGAAAATAATGCACATGGCCATTCAAAAAGCTTTTGGAACCTTGAAACAAATCAAACGATTTTGATAAATTAAATGGAACAGTAGAATTCAACTATCTAACCAGGAATTTTTCCATTAGTACATTGTTTTTATTAGGTTGAGACAAATGATTAATAGAAGCAGCAGCAGCAGAAATATTTAAATATCCTTTACTAGCGCACTACCTGAAGCTATCATGCCTTTTAAAAACAGACTTGAATCCAACAGACTTCTACAAATAATTAAATATTAGAATGTGTTGTGCTTCAGCTAGTTGTTCATAACTTTATTAAAAATAGACATTTTGGTCTACGAAATTAATTCAATATATTTTAAGTATACTGCATTTAGAATCTTAGGTCTGTAACATAGCTTTTTTGAACTTAAAAGTACCGTATGCAAAATATAAAGAAAACCCTTGCTAAATAGAAGTATTTCACCTTTATTCATTCGTTAAAACATCGATTCCAAAAATAAAACACCCAATTGTATATAGGGCTTATTTCAAGTATTCATTTAATTCAGCATTATTATAAATAACTCTTTATCATAAATGATAATTCTTACCATAAAGGACTAAGGCAGGGCTAAACGATAAAGCAACATCCAAAGGAAGACATAAACCAGGAATCCTGGTTAGAAAAAGGGGGCAATGGATCTTGTGCTCTTGTTAGTGAGTTGAAATGGACTGTTTTCAACTTCTAACAGATGGAGGATAAGGGGGACTTCAGACTTGACTTTAAAAAAAATATCTCTCACAAGAAGACAATAAGCTTCCAAAGGATGCACGGCTGAACGTGACTGGAACAAAGGCCAGGAAAATTAAAACGATGCTTATTAATACTTTTCGACGGACAGAAGCTTCGGCGCAGTCTGAAAAAAAATAAGAAGTTTAATATGAGCGGGAACTTTACTGGCAAAGCGCCACCCGCTGACGTTTTATCAGAGCGATAACTAGGCCCCAAAGTAAAATAACTGAAGCAGAAGAGGAAGAGAGAGAACACTGATTATCCCATTTGGCTTCACATCAAAATCTTTCAAGGGGGCTGATTTTTTTGGGTCCCTTTCACACATGATGGATGTCTGTCTCTCCCCCCCCCCGCCCAGTTTAAGGCTTTAGGCAGGGAAAACCATTAAAAGGCGGTGTTTAAGGGCAGCGTTTTGCAACTGGACTTCGTTAGTTATAACCCCCTGCTTGCAACTCGCACGTCGACGCTGTGAAAAGTCTAGAACAAGATCGGCCCAAAGGCAGAAACCAGTTTCATCCTAAAAGCAAATATGGCGTCGCTTAGGTAGGAAGGTGCCCAGCGAGTGGCATAAGGCAGCATCGGGATGCAAGCCCCGCCTCTATTTTACAGCCCGCAGGGGCGGAGCTTGGGCTTCCGTCCTTCGGTTCCATAGCGGCCGGGGTGGCCAATCTTTCTAAAAGATGGGAAGATGAATTCCTTTAACGCAACACTCTTATTTATTTGAGTGGGAATAATTAATGGGAAAGCTTTCTGAAATATCCCAATTAGCTTTGACACAAGGAGAACCGTGAATCGTAGGCAGGCGTGTCTGGACAACCTCGATTTTTGTAGTTTTTTTTTAATGTTCAATAACATAAAATAAGAAATTAAGTTCAGCCAATAGCTCCTTGGTTGAAGTTCCAGAAGGCTCCAAAAATAGTTCTGAAACAGAATAAGAGTTGGAAGGGACCCTGGAGGTCTTCTAGTCCAACCCCCTGCTCAAGAAGGAGACCCTACGCTATTCCTGACGAATGGTTGTCCAATCTCTTCTTGAAAACCTCCAGGGATGGAGCACCCTCAACTTCTGAATGCAAGCCAGACCCTGTTCCATTTCAGACAAAGAGGCAACTAGTGGAAATGAAAAGCAACGATAGCCCTTCTGGCTAAGAACCTGATTATCGTAATGATTCCCACATTGTATAGTTCTCCCTTAGGCATACTCAACCCTATCCCTTTGTAGGCCACGAGGGAAATCATTTTTATCACCTAGGCCAGGGGTAGGCAACCTTGGCTCTTTTATGACTCGTGGACTTCAACTCCCAGAATTCCTGAGCCAGCCACGCTGAGGGGAAAGGGAGAGGTTTCCAAGCTGAGCCAGGCTGGCTCAGGAATTCTGGGAGTTGAAGTCCACCAGTCATAAAAGAGCCAAGGCTCCCCACCCCTGCCCTATATCAGGGGTCCTCAACCTTGGTAACTTTAAGACTCGTGGACTTCAACTCCCAGAATTCCTGAGCCAGCATGGCTCAGCTTGGAAACCTCTCCCTTTCCCCTCAGCACGGCTGGCTCAGGAATTCTGGGAGTTGAAGTCCACGAGTCATAAAAGAGCCAAGGTTGCCTACCCCTGACCTAGAATCTAGTTAAGATTGAACAGCTCTTAGGGCCCCCCAATCTAGGAATATTGTAATCTCATGTATGAAGACAAACTAAATGACTTATCCCCCATGTTAATATCACAGATTCCATTTAGCTAACTTACAGCTACTTAGATATAGAGATACGGGTACCTTTTCTATGAGTTGAAGGATCACCAAGGAGACGGTTTCTAAGACCAGCCATGGAATAGAGCAGCAAGACAGAATTTAAGAGAATTCTAGTTTAATCATCATAAGCCGGTGAACGGCTTGTGTGTCACATTGTCCCAAATATCTTAAGTTTAGGGATTATCTAAACTTAATTAGGATGCACTCCTTCGTATCTGAACACCAACAGATGGTTTTCTGCTCCGCTGCCAAACCAAACTCTCCAGCCAGGATTAAACCTTGTTGCCTGCTTCAGAAGCCAGGTTTTAAAACTGCCCTAAGTAGCTTCCTTCTGATATGTGGGATCAAGGGGAGGAACTGAGAAGTGGGATTGCAATATCAACCGTTAAATCACGATTGCTATTTACTTTAAAAAAAAGCCCCTATTCCTACTTTAAATTTTGACGTGCTAATGGCACATTTATGATTATTTTTAAACCTCTTATTATGACTTATTTGATTACCCATAGTTAATAGAGAATATCATTTAACTAGTGTATGATTATTATTGAATTCTTAATTATATGATACAGGTGACACGCTTTACATCTTACATGGATACGTCTTTCTTTTATCCTTGGATGTAACTGGACGGAACTTTAATCCACAAAATGGAAGAAAATTTAAGATACTATTTTAATCTTTAATTAGTCCTCTCCTAATTAATGTCCCCCAAATTACTTCTTAAAACACTTTTAGTGAAGAAAGTTTTATGATTTCTTCCCCACTTGGGAGAGCTTAAAACTGACGGTTATAATATGATAGTTACTCCATCTTCTCATTTTTTCTGTAATCCATATATCTAGGGGAGCGTTATTTCCTTTTTTTAAAAAAAAATAGTGAAATAATTTATTTTTTTTCACTCGGTCTACGATGGACGGAAACACCTTCGCTTTGCTCTCGGCCACCTCTAGAGAATCACTGCTTTTATTGTGAGAGACTGTTCATCACAAGTCGTGAAATGAAATCCTTAACACTGACTCACAGCTATCCTTAACCCTCCTTGTGCAACTGCCCAAAACCTGATAAATTTTGCGAATGAATTGTTCTGATTTGTTTTTTTAGGAGGGAGACTGGTGATGGATTAGTTTCAAAAAGTAGTAAGGCTTCTTCTTCTAGGTTTGACATAAGTCAGTGATTTAACAGGTCTCTTCCCTGAAAAAAAAAAATCAGCCCCTTTTATGATGTTACTGTTGTTATGAGTCCCACATTTTCTGAATCCTGGAAGAACGTCTGCCCTTAAGCCAGTGGTTCTCAACCTGTGGGTCGGGACCCCATTTGGGGTCGAACGACCATTTCATGGGGGTCGCCAAACAAGGCTGTCTGCCATTTTCCCCCCTTTTCTTTGGCCACACCCCTGGCACCCGGTGATGTATAAGTGGTTGGGGGTCACCACAACATGGGGAACTGTATTACGGGGTCGCGGCATTAGAAAGGTTGAGAACCACTGCCTTAAGCGAAAGACAGTAGGGTCCTACAAGGCTTCCATAGGTTTAGCAAATGCCTTTCGTTCTGTCAAAAATAGGTCACCCCAAATAAAATCTGAAAACTCAAAAGACTTGATGGCCAAGTTGAACTGCAAGGATCCGATGACAATATTATCTGGAAGAAGAAAGAATATTATCTTTCTTCTTAAGAACAACGGAAGCCATCACATTCCAGTTCATCTTCCTCTATTCTCTTGCTAGGCTTTCCCGCTCAACTGAATCCTGTGCTAATTCAAAGCCAAACTCTTTGCTTAGAATTAAGCTCTGGTGAGGTTCTCGCATTTTGAGATTTACAAGGTTGGAAAAAAAATAAATACAAATTTCTGACCACCCAGACCAGGAAGACACCCAAGATGAAGCAAAAGCTTCTCCACGGGCCTGGTAGAAACCCCAGAGCCTTGATATGCCACAGACCACAAATTGTTTAAAAGGTTGCAATCCTAGGATCTCCTTGTGGAAAAGCAAACAGAGGTGGAAAGAATGATTTATAAAGTAGGCGCATCCACAGGAAGTGAGCCACGGAGGAAGTGGCTTTCTCTCCTCACACAATCCCAGTTATGTTTTTTTAGGAGGAGTATTAGCATTAAAATAGGTCACAATTTTCCGCAGAAGGAGGGAAAGAGATGGAGGTGACCTTTGTACCAAATCTGGGGGTCCACCTAACTGCTTTTATGAATCATCTGGTTTCTGACTTATTATTCTTTTCGAGCATATATATATGCTCCTAGAAGCACGAAGCCTAAAGCACCAGCCTGAAGATGACGAATGACACTTCGTCGAAACGTCGCCAAGACACTTCAAATTTTACGTGGGAGAAAACCCGAATAATCAAAGATAGATAGATTATAGATAGATAGATAGATATTCCCCCAAGCTGGTCAAAATGTCGCCAAGACACTTCCAATTTTACGTGGGAGAAAACCCGAATAATCAAAGACATATATATATATATATTCCCCCAAGCTGGTCAACTAAGACGGCGTCTCATCGCTCGAAGTTTCAAGGACCTCAGCAGCGTCCAGAAGAGAAATGCTTCCATCACCTCAGAGAGTAACTTCCGCTCCGCAAGGTCTTTCCTTCTGGCCAATTCTTCTCAGCGATCGCTTTTTGACTAACTGATAAAAGAGGATGTGGGATTTTTATTTCTATTTCCCTCCCCCCAAATGACATGGTTTAAAACAGGGAACCGTTGTTTTGTTTTGTTTTTTTCCCCACACAGATAAGTAGGAAGGAGAAGCGGACCAGAGACAGACCAGCGATGGTCACTTAGAGCAGCTCCTTCAGGATCCCTCAACCGAGGCTTTCGAACGATCGAACCGATCGGCGGCCGAAATTCATTCCACGTCAGAGGCGTCATTGTCAGAGAGATGGTAATTGCTTCCCTTCACCCGGATATACTCAATATATCTCCCGTCCTCCGATTCAGGAATGCCACATGTACATAGCGAGCTCTCAAACAAGCATTCGATTTCCTCTAGTTTTTTGCCTTTGGTCTCTGGAAGACAGCCGTAGAGAAAAAGGAGGCCCACGAACGCAAATCCGGCATAAAGAAAGAACGCTCCTGCAATTAAAAAGACAAAAACACGCCACCCCACACAGGGTTAATATATAGTTGTTGTTGTTTTTTTTAAAAAAAGAAGTTTCTACAGCAGTGGTTCTCAACCTGTGGTCCGTGGACCCCTTGAGGGGGGACAACAATGTTGTCACATGGGGATCTCCAAAAGCTTGGAAAAAAATGTTATGATTTAAATCTTGAGTTAAGTTTTTGGGGGAGTTCCCCTGGCCATGGTCCGTGGCCACAAAAGGTTTTTTAAAGGGGGCCCGTCGTGAAGAAAAGATGGAGAACCACTAAACTAAGGCTTCTCTTAAAATCCGTATTTCAAAAATATTACACAGAAGGTTTCATTCAAAACATTATATAAAGTCAAGGACACGTCTACAAACTTAATATTCCCTCGCTCCCTTCCTTTTCTTTCTTCCTTCCCCTCTCTGTTCTTCCCTCCCTCCGTCTCTCTCCTTCCTTCTTTCCTCCCTCCTTCTCTCTCCCTCCCTTCCTTCCCTCCTTCCCCTCACTGTTCTTCCTTCCTACCCTCCCTCCCTCACCAATTGTCCTGCTTCCTGTTGGCCATCATATTGATCTTCCTTCCTTCCTTCCTTCCTTCCTCCCTTCCTCCCTCCCTCCCTCACCAATTGTCCTGCTTCCTGTTGGCCATCATATCAATCTTCCTTCCTTCCTCCCTCCCTCCCTCCCTCCCTCCCCAATTGTCCTGCTTCCTGTTGGCCATCATATCGATCTTCCTTCCTTCCTTCTTTCCTTCCTTCCTCCCTCCCTCCCTCAAATTTCTACAGCCACCCAACTCAGTCAATGATTCTAGGCCACTTACAATTAAAAAAAATATATACAGGTAGTCCTTGACTTATGACCACAATTGATCCATTGCTAAGCAAAACATAAGTTAAGTTGAGTCTTGCCTCATTTTATGAACTTTTGGCCACAGGTCTTGAGAGAATCACTGCAGCCGTTAAGTTAGTAACATGGCTAATAAGTGAATCTGCCTTCCCTGTTGACTTTGATTGTCAGGAGGTTGCAAAAGGGGATCACGTGACCCTGGGACACGGCAACCATCATAAGTAGGAGTCAGTTGCCAAGTGTCTGAATTTTGATCATTTGACCAGGGGGATGCTGCAACGGTCATAAGTGTGAAAAACGATCACAAGTCGCTTTTTTTGCGCCGTTGTAACGTTGAACAGTCAGTAAATGAAAGGTTGTAAGTCAAGGACTACCTTTAATGTCAGTGGCCACAACGTATGCTGTGAACAGTGCATCTCCTTCCAAGCCTGAAGCCGTGCACAACACACATCTTAATCCAGGGGTCTTCAAACTTGGCCCTTTCATGCCTTGTGGACTTCAACTCCCATAATTCCTTAGCCAGCCTCCATTTTGTTTGTTAGATTTAAGACAGGAGTCTTCAAACTTGGCCCTTTCATGCCTTGTGGACTTCAACTCCCAGAATGCCTCAGCCAGCCTCCATTTTGTTTGTTAGATTTAAGACAGGGGTCTTCAAACTTGGCCCTTTCATGCCTTGTGGACTTCAACTCCCAGAATTCCTCAGCCAGACACGCTGGCTGAGGAATTCTGGGAGTTGAAGTCCACAAGTCATACAAGGGCCAAGTTTGAAGACTCCTGTCTTAATCTATACCTCTAATTATAGCTCCCATCAAGTCCACCTATCAAGGGGAGAACTTAAGTTGCCAAGCAAAATCATTAAAAAATGAAAAAACTAAAACCTCCAACAATCCGAAATTAAATTGTTCTGAGTCTTGTTTGAAGATGGAAAAAAAAATTCCTTACCATAATAGGTCAGATATTCAGCTGTGTGCAAGAAGGTGAGTGACACCAGAACGTTGAAAATCCAGTTGACGCCAGAAGAACAGGCGTTTCCTGTACTTCTCGCCCAAAGGGGGTAAATTTCGGAATTGATTGTCCACGGCATCGGTCCCATTCCTTGTGACATGTAATTGAAAATAACCAATCAATAACTTTCACTGAGTATTCTTAAATAATTACGATCAACAGAGATGGAAAAGTTAGAAATGATTAACAATGGTGAAAGACAAGCTGAATAGTAGTTGCCTTCCATATGAATGCGTGACATGAAGAACATTCATCCTAGTACAAGTGATCCCTAACTCGCAACTGCAACTGGGTCCAAAATGTTCATTGCTAAGCAAAGCAGTTGTTAAATAAGTCATGACCCATTTTACGACCGTTTTTGGCATGGTTGTTAAGCCATGGCAAATCACTAGTTGTTAACAGAATCCAGCTTCCCCCCTAGCTATTACGTCTATTGTTGTGTTCAAAGGAAGATTCTCAGTCTATAGCAGTGGTTCTCAACCTATGGGTCGTGACCCCATTTGGGGTCGATCGACCATTTCACGGGGGTCGCCAAGCAAGGCTGTCCGCCATTTTTTCCCCCTTTTCCGGTGGGTGCCTTACCTCCCTTGGTGTCGGCCTACTCTGTCTCTGCCGCTTGCCAGCTAGGCCTCAGCCGGCACAGGGGACGGCACCACGCATGTGTGGCGCTCCCGGGCAGGGAAAGTTCTCGACTTACGACCGGTTGGGTAGTCCTCAACTTACGACTGGTTTAGTCCTTGACTTACGACTGGTTGGGGGTCGCGGCATTAAAAAGGTTGAGAACCACTGGTCTATAGGAAAGTGTACATGATCTTTTTTCTTCGTCCGTTCATTTTTATCCACCCTGGAATTGATTACACCCACAGTTTGAGAGCAGAATTTCTTTCCTTACCCTATAAAACAGGGGTTTTCAAACTTGGCCCTTTGATGACTTGTGGACTTCAACTCCCAGAATTCCTCAGCCAGGCACGCTGGTTGAGGAATTCTGGGAGTTGAAGTCCACAAGTCATAAAAGGGCCAAGTTTGAAGACCCTTCCCAGAATTCCTCAGCCAGCGTGCCTGGCTGAGGAATTCTGGGAGTTGAAGTCCACAAGTCATAACAAGGCCAAGTTTGAAGACCCCTACTATAAAATAACAAAGTTAAATGGTCAAGGAGATAATGTATTCAAACAAAGGCAAGGCAACCAGTGCTTCCAATTTTATTTTCACAAAAAAAGGAAAATGCAGACGCCTAAGATTTTGACCAGGGTTACTTGAGTATTCCCGGTTGATAACAGCCAATTTCTTTTAGTCAAAGAAAAGTAATATAAGTTCATCAAATGTATTTACCTGGTGCAAAGAAAACCAGGTACAATATGAGTCCCAGCAGTGCAGTCCATGAATACGGCGTTGGACAGAAGTTATAAGCCCAAAATATGCCTTCAGTTTTGAGTTTGGTTTCATTGGAGCATCTGCAAGAAGGAAGAAAGAAAGAAAGAAAGAAAGAAAGAAAGAAAGGAAGGAAGGAAGGAAGGAAGGAAGGAAGGAAGGAAGGAAGGAAGGAAGGAAGGAAAAAGAAAGAAAGAAGAGAAAGAAAGAAAGAAAGAAAGAAAGAAAGAAAGAAAGGCATTTGAAGATAAATACAATGCTTATTTGCAAGAACACAATGTTATAACACAATGTTAACTCATAATCAATAGAGCCTAATTCTTGTCCTGAGAGAAATTGAATAGCTTCTGCTTAAAAGTAGATAATGGATCACTGGGCATGTTTAGTGTAAAATCTTTGGAACAATATCAGAAATATACTTTATTGTGAAATTACTCAGGCAGTTAAAAATAATATTCCCACTGCTTGATTCCAAATGCAATTATGTTGTTTTTAAAGTGATGTTTATTTCCTTTCTCAATAGTAAGGAGATATTCCTGACTTCTGCAACCTATTTAAATTGATGAACCTAAGGCAAATGTTAATTCTTCTGAGATCTACAATTTGGGATAGTAACTCTCCCGATATCTAAGTGACTGCCACAAAGAAGCAGGAAGGGAGTCAACCAGTTCTCCAAAGCGCCTGAAGGCAGGACAAGAAGCAACGGATGGAAACTAACCAAGGAGAGAAACAACCTAGAACGAAGGAGAAATTTCCTGACGGTGAGAACAATTAACCAGTGGAACAATCTGCCTCCAGAAGTGGTGAATGCTCCAACACTGGAAGTTTTTAAGAAGAGACTGGGCAACCATTTTTCCGAAATGGTACAGGGTTTCCTGCCTGAGCAGGGGGTTGGACTAGATGACCTCCAAGGTCCCTTCCAGCTATGTAATTCTGTATTCCGGTGAAGTTTCAGTGGCATGTCCCTGCCCAAAATCTAACAGTGAGAACAATTAACCAGCGGAATGGCTTGTCTTCAGAGGTTGTGGGTACTCCATCGCTGGAGGTTTTTAAGAAAAGACTGGATGGCCATTTGTCTGAAATTGTATAGGGTTTCCTGCCTGAGCAGCGGGTTGGACTAGATGACCTCCAAGGTCCCTTCCAACTCTGTTATTCTTCTGCCATTGATAGCTATATCTTATATAGCTTGTCTTCAGAGGTTGTGGGTACTCCATCGCTGGAGGTTTTTAAGAAAAGACTGGATGGCCATTTGTCTGAAATTGTATAGGGTTTCCTGCCTGAGCAGCGGGTTGGACTAGATGACCAAGGTCCCTTCCAACTCTGTTATTCTTCTGCCATTGATAGCTATATTTTATAGCCATTTCTGTAAACCGCCACCAATAATAGCACCTTTCAAAATGCCCAGTTTTTTTTCCTAGTTCATCGTTGCTAGCTAGCCAAATCCTCGCCTTGACATCAGTTTAAAGCACGGACAACAGGACAGCAACTTCGCGGCGTATGAGTTAATTTCAGTAAAAAAAAAAAAGATTTTTTTTTTTTGCAGGTGTGCAGTGATGAATACAGGCTGATTATCCCTGCTCAAGTGTCTGGAAGGAAGCAAACAATACTATAATTGGGGTAGTACATTTCAGAAAAGAGGCAGCAGCTGCTCACTCATTTAACGTCTTCTTGTCAATATAGCAGGGAAAAGATTCTACTTGGTTTATCATTTCGCCGTCCGCGGGGGATCAATGCGCGTTCTGCACTAAGAAAATATCCCTCGTTAAAACGGACAGAAGGTGAACATTACTAATAGTAGTAAAGTTGGAAGGGACCTTGGAGGTCATCTAGTCCAACCCCCTGCTCAGGCAGGAAACCCTACACCATTTCGGACAAATGGCTGTCCAATCTCTTCTTAAAAACTTCCAGTGTTGGAGCATTCACCACTTCTGGAGGCAGGTTGTTCCACTGGTTAATTGTTCTCACTGTCAGGAAGTTTCTCCTTAGTTCTAGGTTGCTTCTCCCCTTGGTTAGTTTCCACCCGCTGCTTCTTGTCCTGCCTTCAGGCGCTTTGGAAAATAGCTTAATTCCCTCTTCTTTATGGCAGCCCCTGAGATATTGGAACACAGCTATCATGTCCCCCTTCGTCCTTCTCTTCGTTAAACTAGACATACCCAATTCTAGCAACCGTTCCTTATATGTTTTAGCCTCCAGTCCCCTAATCATCTTTGTTGCTCTTCTCTGCACTCTTTCCAGAGTCTCAACATCTTGTTTACATCGTGGTGACCAAAACTGGTGCAAAAGGCCATCACCAAGGAAGGTCAAAACTCATGACGACGCCGGGCTGACACACACATACAAAAAGAGGGAGTCCACCTATTCTCCAAAGCACCTGAAGGCAGAACAAGAAGCAACGGATGGAAATTAATCTAGGAGAGAAGCAACCTGGAACGAAGGAGAAACGTTCCGACAATGAGGAAAAAATAAGCAGTAAAAATGGCTTTTCTTCAGAAATTGTGGCATTTAAGAAGAGATTGGGTGGTCGTTTGCCTGGAGTGGTTTAGGGCAGTGTTTCCCAAACTTGACCATTTTAAGGCATGTGGACTTCAACTCCCAGAATTCCACAGCCAGCGTTGCTGGCTGTGGAATTCTGGGAGTTGAAGTCCTCATGCCTTAAAATGGTCAAGTTTGGGAAACACTGGTTTAGGACAGTGGTTCTTAACCTTTTTGAACGAATCGCCCCCTTGAGCCAATGAGGAAGTTGTCATCCCCCCCCTCCCCCAACATAACCTCTCAATCCCAACATAGGAAATAATTCTTCAATTTATGCAAACCCTTTTTTTGCTTCCTTTAAAATTGTCGCCAGGACATATTGATGCAAATAATTTATTTCCAGTCTTTCCCCCCATATCTCCCATATTCTGGCCAATGGCGTGCCACTGTTACGGGGGGACGCTGCTGCGCAACACGCATGAAGGTAACCGATGTGTCTTCACATATGTACGGCGTTCTGTACTGAAGCTAGCTGGAGGAACATTTGAAAGCACAGTTCAATCCGCTGACAGCGAGCGATCTGATGTTTTTGTACGACATACAGCGATTCACTGTACAAAAAAAGTCTCAAAAGTGCCCCCCAAACCTCTCGCTCCATCGCCCCCATATCGCCTTTTCGTTCCATTGCCCCCCTGAAAAACGAAATCACGATATCACCCAGGTTAAGAACCACTAGTCTAGGGCAGTGATGGCGAACCTTTTAGAGACCGAGGGCCCAAACGGCAACCCAAAGCCCACTTATTTATCGCCGGGTGCCAGGTGGACGTGGCCCACTGGGTTGGCCTGGCTGTGGTGGTCATGGCAGACTGGGTGGGTGTGGCCAAGGTGGGCGTGGCCACCTCAATGTTGTTCGTGGGAAGGGATGCCTGTGTGGGGCGGGCAGGGTTGGGAGAGATCTAGGGCAGTGGTTCTCAACCTGTGGGCCGGGACCCCATTTGGAGTCGAACGACCACTTCACGGGGGTTGCCAAACAACGCAGTCCGCCATTTTTTCCCCCTTTTCCTTAGCTTGAATAGAGTCTAATTCTATTGGCTTTCAAAAGCCAATAGGCATCGTCCAGGCTGTCTCTGCCCTGCTGAGCCCGCCAAAAGTCCCATTCTGCAAACGGTGCTGCACCAGTTGAGTACTTACGACCGGTTTATTTATTTATTTATGAGACGTATATACCGCTTTAAGTGCAAGCACTCTCTAAGCGGTGTACACCAGTAAGCAATGTATATATATATATTTACATTGCCCCCAACAATCTGGGTCCTCATTTTACCTACCTCGGAAGGATGGAAGGCTGAGTCAACCGTGAGCCGGTGAGATTTGAACCGCTGACCTGCTGAACACAGTCAGCTAAAGTGGCCTGCAGGACTGTACTTGGGGGTCGCGGCATTAAAAAGGTTGAGAACCACTGATCTAGGGGGTCTCTGGCAGGTGGGACGATAGGCAGGAGGCCCGTCCTGCGGGATGTGGTGAGGCAGTGTGGGGGGTGCCATTGCCATGGGGCAAGGCAAGGGCCGGGGCGGCTGCTGCCTGACACCACTGGCCCCCGCACACAGAGGCCAGCGAGCGCATGGGAGCCGACAAGTGTCCGTCAGCAGCCACAGCCTGCCGGCCCCTCGACTGGCGCTCTCTGGGGCTCTGCAGCCCGCTGCCAGCAGTTCAAAGAAGCCGCCTCTGAGCTGGATGGCTGGCCGACAGCTGAGGAGGCGATCCAGTGGGTCGTGCCCGGGAAAAGGAGAGCATGCGAGGCCAGGAGGGACGGAACCGGAGGGGGGGGGAGAGAAACCAGCCGTGCCAGAAAAGTGTTTGTACAATCCCACATTAATATTCCTCTGAAGCCCAGACCTCGGTGTACCCAAGACTTTTATTTAAATTGAAACTTTATTCAGGTCACTAATATAAATTGTGGATGGCAGCAGCTCGGAAGGAAACAAAACGATGCATTTGTTTCTATCGCCTTTCTAAGCAGATAGAAGATGGACAGTATTTAATATTTATTGCTATGTATACACAGGGGCGTGGGTCTATGCATATGTTGTACATAGTATGTTTAGGAGTGTGTCATGTATGTGTTTCACTTTGAGAGCGGGCAACTAAATTTCATTTTTGATGTGTGCCGTTGTGCCCACAGTAAAAGCATGACAATAAAGGTTATCTTATTATCTTATCATCTTATCTTATCTGTTGCAAAGTGAGACATTTGCTTACTGAGGGGGGGGTTTGCCCCATTTTACGACCTTTCTTGCCACAGTCGTTAAGTGAATCTGGCTTCCCCATTAACTCTGCTGGTCAGGAGGTCACAAAAGGAGATCACGGGACATTGCGACCGTCATAAATACGAGTCAGTTGCCGGGTGTTCTGAATTTGGATGCAACGTGGCTGCCAAGGGTGAAAAACGGTCCAAAAGTCACTTTTTTCAGGACCGTTGTAACTTTGGACGGACACTAAATGAACCGTTGTTACGTCGGGACTATCTGTATACGCATCCAAGAAGTATAATCAAAATTGCCATCTCGCTTTAAGGCCGTTACGAATTAAATTACCTATATCTTCTCTCGTC